CATTTTATTTGGGCCGAGTGGGCTTCTGTTAATGTGCCGAATTTGGGGCTTTATAATTGTCCAAAAAAACGTAGAGATGTAGGCATATAGATCGGCTTTGGCATGATGGAAAGTACCTCGGTTCATGTACTCTACTTTAACTTTATGTCTCATTCCTATCTTATTGAATAGATTTAAAAAATCTTTAAAGTACATTGGTATTAAATGTGGTAGTTTGACTTGTTTTCTATATTACTTCATTAGTCTTATTTTAAATTGACCGTTTTGACTTTGGGACATATTTAAGGAACAGAAAAAATAGAGTTGATTTTTTGAAATTGTCATTATTTTTAGGAGTGGTGACGATGAATGAGAAGATAAGGTGGAGAAGAGTGACTTATTTTAGGTGTAATTTAGGTATTTTATTCTTAAAAATTTACGATAACAAGGAACAAACAACTTATTTTGGGATAGAGAAAAAAAGGGAAACAAACAATTTAAAATGGGACAGAGAGAGTACCATATTATGGAAGCATACACACCATTCTTTAATACTTTCCTTCAAATACTCGTAAAGATAACATATTGCACAACTGTTTCTTTCGAGATGTCCAGAAAACTACAAACCGTGATGTAGAACTTTCTTGACAAAATTGATAACACTCGCACGGCATGGATGCTAAAGTTATGAGCTATACGCATTTACAACGTTCCTGTTTGGGCAAAGGGAGGTGATTCCATGAAAGTCATCTTCCATGACGAACATGTAAATTGTTTTTTCTATTTTTTTTCACTATATTCTCGTATTTACAATGATGGGGACTGATTCTTTTCGTTTTTTATAGGGGACGAGGATACATGCTCATATTATAAAACCTGAAAAGGAGCGTTTTGAAAACTAGATCGTGGAGGATGGCGTTTTTAGAATTCGAAATGTTTTTGTTCACGATAATTACCTTTCATGCAAAACAACTACCCATAAATCTTTGTTAGTTTTTTACACAAAGACCGAAGTGAAAACTTTGAGCAAAAAGGACTTTCCCAAATTAAACTTCGACTTAAAATCTTTTTTGAGCATTCAAGCACAGTCCTGTTTAAATGACAAACTTCTCATCGGTAAAAATATTTTTTGAATGCAATTTCACCGTGTGATACGAAAAATTAAAATTTTCCAATTGTTGCAGATGTGATAGGAAAAATTGTTATTTCATGTGTCCATGTTGAGGAGATACCGCTTCGACCCTTCACATGTCCTGCCCAAAGGAACAGTCAGCCTTAATTTGTCCTACGAAGCAGAACCCGTTCAGATATTAGCGCGTGAAGTAAAGGAACTGAGGAACAAGTTTGTCTCCTTAAGTCAAGGTGCTCTGGAGGAATCACTCCATGGAAGAGGCCACCTAGGAAACCGAGGTGTCCATGCAAATCCAATATCCTCATCTATTTAGCAGCTAATGACTCAGGTTATTTCGAGAACATAATTCTTTTAAGGGGGAGAGAACTCAAACACCCCGAAACATGGTCTATCAGAATTAATTCATAAAAAATAATTAATTAATTATTGAGACGGAACCAAAGTTATTTAGAAATAATTTTTAATAAACTATAAAAATTATACTATTGTGTAGAGTTTGGCGAGACAGATCCAATGGTGCAAATTCATCTGAATTCGAAGCAAGTTGACCCAAAAAATGTATTTTTATTGAGGTACATTAACTAATTACGGAGCATGAAATCCTAGGGTATTTAAATACCCCATTATGCATGCAACACGATCCCTCAGGTACGTTAACTAATTACGGAGCATGAAAGTAAGGCATGTGGAGCCTGCTGGGCCCAATGACTAACCAGGTAAAAACGTACGTACGAGTATCCTTGAACTGCCTCGTGATCCACCAGGTGGGGAATCCACCCACCCAACGGAGAACTCCTATGTACGTTAAGCATGGCCCACTGATCTAGTGGGAACAATCATGACTCCCAAATTAAGAAGTAGTCCTTAGCTTAGGACAAGTTAGCAACAGGTCTTTTGTGATCCACCAACCTCGAAGAATCCACAGTTTTTCTGAGTATGGCAATGGGCAAGTGCCAAGTAAGTAATGTGTTGAATCATATGTGTGGTATGAATGTTTTCTTGTATGATGTCACATAATTTTTATGAATTGTGGATTCGCTGGATTGATTACTTTGACGTTAAATATTTCTCACTCGGCGTCATTGCTGAGCGTGTAGTTTTGTTTGTTTGCTACACGTAGGTAATCAAGGAGATGATGCACCTAGAGCAAATCTTCGAAGGCAGTGAAGAGGAAGATATGTGGGTTGACTTGTTTGGAGACTTCAAACTAATTACTACTTATGAATAATTTATTATGTTTTTGGGCATATGTCCCAAGTTGTTTGTATTAGTGAACTAAGTTTCTGCATTGTTTGAAATTTATATTCCAATGTTGGATTTTATCATAAGAACTATTAAGATGTTTTCAAAATGTTTTGAAAATACTGTGTGTTTGGATACAAGATTCGTAGCAACCTTGTTCGCTTACCTTTGCATCTGGGTTATGCGGGTTGGGGTCTTACAGGTAATGTATGTTACTCCCTCCGTCCTAAAACTTTCTTCCCAGAGCACTATTCCAACTTCATGGAAATTTATATTTATTTGTGTTTTTTCATGGCCTATATGATAAAATAAAATATTCTTGTCACCACTTGTTTTGTTGAACATTTGATGTAGTTTTTAAATATGTATGTTTTATTTTTTATTTCTATACCAATATTTAAATAAAATAGATTGAAAAAACTTAAGATTTTTCTTCGTTTTGCGCAACGGGAAGAAAATTTTAGGACGGAGGGAGTATATCTCTGTAGCAATGAGTTACAGACCCTCTTAGAAAATTCACATTTGCAGAACAAATGCTTGTTGTCTTCATCCGCAGTACCAAACATGTTGTATTCAGTACTAATGTTAGCCCACTTCCTCATACGAATCTTGGTGAGCAATCTCGCATGCACAAGTAGCCTAGTAATAAACTATACTTTGGGTGGGGTGAGTTTGTTCCACACCTAATAATCCCAATACACCTTTTGGCTCACCCCTAGGGCTGTTCACATTTAGGTCTGGACCAAAAAAACCTGACCGAATCGGATCGTTTGGTCCAGACCAAACCTCGACCGAATAGATTTCAGGTTGGTCTTTGGTCCAAAAAATTTAGAAGTTTGGGTTCCGGTCTGGTCCAGTTCAAATCCAAAATGATTTAGGCCCGGACTGATTGGACTGAATAAACCTAATAATCCTATTGGACCTAAAAGACCTAAGTATGTAAGTTCTACTTTTTAAGTTCCATAATACACTTTGATGCTTTACTTGAATAGATATTTTAATTAATTTAATTAAAAAAAGTTTTTGTAAAGAAATTTATAAAAAGGTTCAAAAAAAAGTTTCGCATTAGTTTTTATTATTCTACATAGAAGTAGTCCATGTTGCGTATCTATTTTTAGCTTGTGTATTTTTTTTCCTATTTGTACGCTACAAAATAAAAAGCCTAAAATATTTTTTTGAAAGACAAACCATCAAAACCTAAAATGTATTCAATTGATAAAAGTACTTAAAAAATACATTTTTATTTGGTCCAATCGGTCCGGACCGGTTCAGTCCTAATTATTTCGGTCCGGTTCAGTCCTAACCCGAATAGATTTAGTTCCGGTCTTCGGTCTGTGATTTTAATCAATTCGGTCTCTGGTCCGGTCTGGTTCGGTCTAGTCTTGGATCGATGAACACCCCTACTCACCCCTTATAACTAGGGGTGTTCATTTATAGGTATGGACCGGAAAAATCGACCGAACCGGACCGATCGGTCCAGACTGAACCCGAACTGATAGGATTTCGGGTCGGTCTTCGGTCTGAAGTATTTTTAATTTTGGGTTTCGGTCTGGTCCGGTCATTACCTGATTACCAATCGGTCCAGACCTAAAAAGACCGATAACCTCCCTTTCTAATTTTATATGTCCTGTTAAAAAATCACCACTCAAATGCCCAACCTTATCCGTAAAGACCTTCCTGTGAGTCTGTGAGACTGTGACCCTGTGCTGCTTGCGGTGTGCCTGAGCCTCATTGTGTGTGTTGTTCGACAGCCTGAGTCGCAGTCGTCACTCGTCAATCGTACTCTCGAGCCCACTTCCCAGCGTCGACTCCCTTTCCTGAAATACTCAATTTCCGATCGCAGATTCACCCTTTTGCTATCGCCACTCGCCGTCTCCCTCGTCTCATTCTCTGTAAAGTAGGCTTGCTTTTGCTGTGAAGTCAACCTTTGTTTTATAGCTTTAGGGGAGTTTAGGGCATGGTTAATTGGTTATTCCCTTTTATTATATATTTAAACCAAATGCTAAATAAGGAAACTGGCTTTTACATTGTGTTTTAGGCTTCCTACTGTACCAGCTCAGGCTAAGTATCCTTTCCTGACATTCTACATCTATAACTCAGTCCTAATTAGATTTAAAAAATTCAACTGAAAAAAATTCGGTCTTATCGGTCTATTTCAGTTCGGTCTAAGAGATTTCGGTCCGGACCGGTCCAAGACCGACTGTGAATCGGTCCGGTCCTCGGTCCTATATTTTTCCAATTTCGGTCTTCGATCCGGTCTGGTCCTGGACCGATGAACACCCCTACTTATAACCAATCATATCTTTCTCTCATGCTATACTTTCCTCTGCACTCCATATTTTTGAAACTGTCCCTCACCTTAATCATGAGTCTCTAATTATTACAAGAATACAACTCAGGGTTGTAGTCCCAAAAGGATGAGGATTTAATACTCCCTATATCCAACTTTAATATTCCTGCTTTGACTAGGCATGTAGTTTTAGGTAAAGTTAAAACATAGTTGACTTAACCCTTACCCCTCATTCACTCATCTATCCTCCTCCCTGCCACCGAACTCCTTTGTCAACACATCTAAATCATCGTAGCAACTACCCAATCACCGTTCGTCCTAGCCCAACACCGACAACACCCAAATTCGCATCCCACCCCAAATCCATATTCGTCCTTCTTGAACTCAACACTGCTAGCACAAAAAATCAACGGTCAAGACCTTGCCTTAGTCATTTTCCTCTGTGAATCAAATTCCACCGGCCGGTGACCCTCCATCTTGGTGCACAAAACCTATACAACCTTCAGATCTGGTGAAAACAAGACTCATTCCTTAATATCTAGCGAAGAAGAAAACTCGATGACCATAAGATTGAAAGAAAAAGAATACTCAAAAAGAGATGAAGATTCAAATAAAAATGATTTGAAGAAGAAGATTTGGAAAAGATGAAGAAAACTTGAAGCAAAACTTGTGAAGAAGAAGACGATTTGAAGAAGTTTAGATGAAGGGGAAAATTTGTTAAATTTTTGATGAAAGAGAAGACAAAGAAAAAAATTGAAGAAGATGAAGTGATGAGGAGACGAAGAAGATGAAAATGTTTTTTTAAAGAAGATGCAGTGAAGAGGAGAGTACAGAGGTGGAGAATAAGAGTATGTGGGGGTGATGTTGGAATGGATAAGGATTTGTGTTAATGAGATCAACCATGCTAGGGGTACACCAAAAGTATACCCCGAGTTGTACCTCAAAGAAATGCACCGACATTTTAATGATTCACACGTGTACAAAATGTTAGTTAAATTTAAAAAAATTGCACTAACTTTTTTTGTCAATTTAAATCATCATGCTAACAGCACACTAGCACAAAATATCGGTGCATGCCTTTGGGGTACAAAATGAGGTACAAATTTTGGTGTACAATAGATTAATCCTAATGGGGTGGAAGATATTATTTTTTAGGGTAATAAAGACATTTCACACACAAAATTTTTCCAAATAAGTAAATCTTAGTAGTCAGTTTATCAATATGTGTTTCGCAATCAACATACTTCAATCTAGAGGCAGTAACTGGACCCCCAAAATAAGTAAAAGGGAATTTACCATTGGTCATATGTGTAATATTATGTAGTGACTCTTGTTTCTGAGTGCTGACTTCCCCAAAAACCACCTAAGATTTGTTGAGATTAATCTCGAGGCATGTGGTAAGCTTAAAGATATCTAAAGCCTTCATAATATAATTGATAGAGTTTCTAAGCTGGCTACAATTCAATCATCAGCAAAGATAATTCTAATGATTTTTATTTAAGCACACATGGGATGATACTTGCAGCCTTTTTGGTTAGCTACTTCATGTAGTAATCACCTCAAATACTCCATAATTGATACATAGGTCAAAGAAGATATAAGGTCTCCTAGTCTAAGCCCTTTTTATAACTAAAGAAATCATGGCTTTCTGCTTTAACACATATATAAAATATGGGGGTAGTAATACAAATTGGATCCATTTAATGAAGGTTTCAAGGAATTTCAAACCATATAAGATCTTCAAGACCACACTCCAACTTACTGAATCATAAGCCTTCCTTATGTCTAGGTTTATCATGCATCCAGGAGAGATATTTTCCTACTATAGCCCCTAGCTAATTCTTGGCATGGAAATACATTGTGAAGAAGTTCTCTTCCTTGAGAAAATGCACCTTGGTTTGAATTTACAATATGTGGTAATACCACCTTCACTCTACTACTAATTAGTTTAACAATCACTTTGTAAACCCCATTGCAGCAAGTAATGGGTCTATAATCAGCAAGAAAGGGTTGACAATTTTAGGAATAAGAGTAATACCTTTAGCATTAATTTGTTTAATAGCCTTATCGGTTCCAAAGAACTCTAAGATAACTGCTGTGACTAGATAACTAAATTTTTTTCATTGAGAAGTATAGAAACCTCTGTTGTCATCTCAGTCTAAACTCTTAGATTGAAGTATATTGAAAACATCATCCTTCAGTAGGTTAGGAGAAAACATCTAAATTAGGCTATGTTGCTAGACTACATTTAGAATCGGACCTCCCCTAAGAACCTCTAGATCCACCTCCTCTATGTAGGATAAACAACCCAATTCGACTAAGACTTCTCTCTAGAGACGCGATGCTACAGTAGCCCCTCACCAAAGCCAAGTTCATGTGAGCTTCCTTACTAGGTTACTCCCCACTTTGAGTTTGGATTTGTGTTCCTCATCTACTGGCGATCATATCCATAGGAGGAATTGGTCATCCGTTACCTCTGTCTGTTGCGGTGGGTGTTGACCTCTTTGACGTACTGTTCATCTTCTTCCCCATGACTTTTGGCCTGTCTTCTTGAGTTCCCTCCTAAGACATGGGCTCCGGAAAATCTCAGAGTGCTAAGAAGACCAACAAAAAGAATCCAAAGAAGAAGGACAAGGTTGCTGCAATTACAGAGGAGGTAAGCTTGGGTACGGATATTGCTGTGGACATTATGGGAAAGGAGAAAGCTCAGACATCTTCCTCCACCTCTGAAACCTCTCCACATCACGTTGAAGGGGTTGAGGTTACGCCTGTCGCACTAGAGAAGACTACTGTACTTGAAAAGCCCCAGGTGCTCAATGAAATACCTCAACTAGAAACAGTTTCTGGAAGCATCAAACCGGTCACTTTTGCTGACCTCTTCAAGCAGAACAAAGACCCTGACCAAGGTATGATCTTAAAACATTATGAGGTGGGTGAAGGTTTCCTTCATATCCCGGATGATATTATTAAGCCTGTGGAAGATATTTGAGGCTTTTTTGTTGTGGGATGCTTTACAGGACGCTTCCCAGGGCTTAAGGCCGTGGATGCCATTGTCAAGAGTTGGAATGTTCCATGCAGAATTATCCCACATTGTAAAGGCCGGGTTGAGCTCAAATTTGAAAATGATAGAGATAGGTATGAGGTGTTGGGTATGGAAAGATGCAAGGCTTACGGCAAGGAATTCAGGATCAAGATTCCCTCTCATGGATTTATGTTTGATTTTGCTGAGTTTACTACTCTCCTTGTCTGGATTCAACTTCATAATGTGCCTATGCAAATGTGGTAAGAGGAGGGTATTGGAATGCTGGCTTCAAAGGTAGGGAAACGCATGAGGACTGACTTGGTTACAAAACAACTGGGCAAGAGTGGGTTTTGCAAAGTCCTTGTTGAGGTTGACTTTTCCAAAGAGCCTGTGACTTTTTTTGAGGTTGCTTGTATGGGTAAACTTTATACCCAAACTGTGGAGTTTGGAGAGGACCCCAAATATTGTTTTCATTGTAAAACATGGAACCATGGGCCTTTCTATTGCAGATCTCTGGAGATGAGGAAGAAGAAAGACCTGATTGATCTGGAAGCTAATGATGCCTAAAAGGGTAACAAACCTTCTTATGGGAAGGAATAGGTAGCTACTGGTAGTAAATCAGGGGTTTATTCTAAATCCAAAGGTGGTCTTATTCCCTCTTCTTTAATTTAACCTGTTGAACATGCTAAGGAACAGCCTACTGGGATTGGTGTGTTGACTCATGGGCCTAATAGAAAAGGGGTTGAGGATGCTGATTTGGGACTGAAGAAGAAGAAAACTGCTGATGGTAACATGGTTGGAAAGAGACAAGAAGCCAAGAAAGGTGGAAAGTGTTGAAACACGGGCTTGTCACGTTTTCGTACTAAAGCCGTGTTCGTTTTTGTAACAGGTTTTGATAATGCCAAACCGCCGTGATCAAGTCTGTTGGACATGAGTTCAAACCCCTTTATTATTGTTCGGAATATTTTTTTGTTTTGATAAATGACAAACAGGATGATTAAATCGATATTCGAAAATTTATTTTTCGTATCGAGAAAAGCAAAGAAGGGTATCAAGAAGTTTACAGAGATAAAATCGATGATCGATCCCTTAACCCTGGATCGATCCCCAACGGTCCAATCTGTCAAAAACACTTCATCCCTACTTCCAACGGATTTATTTCTTTTTCCCCTATAAAAACACTCATCCTCCCTCATTAAAAATACATCTCTTGCACTCCAATATATTCTTTGAGCTATATTCATCCTTTGCTTCATCTTCCTCATCAAAATATTATTTTTGAGAGTTAGAAATATTTTCTTTGAGTGCTAAAGAAGTTGTCATCCATAGAGCTTTAATTCTTCAACACTACTTTGCTCAATTGTGTGAGCTTTCATTCTTGTGTTGTAAACTCAATCTCTTTTGAGTGTTGTTCTTAAGACTTGTGTGACTCAAGTCTTGTTGTTGTAAGAAAGTGAGGCTTGTGTGATTCAAGTTCTCAAGTTGTACCGGTTTTTCAAGCACCCGTTGAAGCTTGAAGATTAGTAGGACTTTCGAGAGAGTCTCTCGGAGGACTGGACTAGCCACGAGGTGGTGAACCAGTATAAATCTCGGTGTTCTTCTTTCCCTTACTCTCTTTATTTATTCCTGCGAAATTTTTTTTACGCGAAAAACGCACATTCTTGAAAACAACTCTATTCACCCCCCCTCTAGAGTTGCACATTTGTCTAACAAAGTCGAACATTGAATATACAAGGCGAAGAACGAAGATAAGAGCAAGAGCTAAACGGAGACCAAGAACGAAGACCTTAGTCATAGTATTGAGTCGGTCTTTATTGTGATCAAGACCGACCCAATCTTTACACCTTGGCTCCTTAGGCTAA